AAAACAGCATTCAGCTATACACGATTCTGATGAAGATTTCCTGCAAGACCTTACAGCTGGAACAGGAATAGACTTTCTTCGAAACAAGAAACGAAAAACTTGTAATACACAGTCAACCAGACGCAATGCTATCCGCAAGAAAGTGCTCAATGTGTCCAGCCTTAAGCGTGTGGGAAGGCAGTTGGATTCATCACAGTCTCTCAGAAACTACAGCCGATTTCGTGACCAGTGGAATTATTATTGAAATATACACTGATTTTATTTTCGTTGTTTTACTGTTTTGAAGTAGTATATTTGTCTTTTTGTAGCAGTTTTAGTTTAACTTCGTAATATATTTTTTGGAATATGAGTCAGTAGAGAATATTTTTATTTTTGACTCCACATCTATACATATAATTCATATTTAAATAAATTTAACAGCCTCTATATATTCGGTGTCAAATGAAAAATTTAGAAACCACGGAAGAAATGAACTTGAAAAACTTGAAAAACCGCGTCACAGAATGGTAGATCGAAAGTAGTGCCCGAATTTTGTACAGTGTGCTGTAAGTACACGAACTTGAGCCGAATGATTTATATTTTACTTTCCAAAACAAAAAAATCCAACTATGAAAAAACATCTTAATAAAATATCACTGACAGATTCAACGGGATTCCCTCAAACGGAAATAAATTACAAGTGAGCAAACATTTCTACAAATCAATTAAGCAACTAATTTCTGCCGCTTAAAACTTCTGCCATTCTGTTTAATGAAGACCCTGCTTTGAACCACTGAATTTGTTCTTCGTTGTACGTGTGATTCAACCAGATATCATCCGTTGTGCCATCAGTGTGAGAAAGAATGCATTTTAACGCCTGAAAAGTAATACGTAGTAAGGCACTAGCGTGAAAAGCAAAATACCGAATGAAAATTAATGCATTATGAAGGGCATCTATCAAGCGTAATTAAAAAAAACACCTGACAACGATGCTTTAAGTTGCTAAACTTCCCTCGTAGTGTCAATCTTATACTGCCTCAACTTAAGCAAATTAAAATTGTTTTTTGGTCAAAGATCGATGATGCACAGATCCCATAGGAGGACGAAGTGCAGATGCCATAAGACTGAATCTGAATCCTGATCTTGCAGGAATAATACTAATTAACATCCTCTTATATTCGAACATAGATTGATTCTATTCGATAGCATAAGAGGCCTACCAACTAGGCAAGCATGTTTAGCGATGAATTTGAGTCTACTCTAGCGAGCACGGGCTGAAAATAACACTGAACGACGGCCTGCTATTATGATCTTTTCTTGTTCTTTCGATGTAGATCGCGTTTAAAAGCGCGATAAATTTTAGTTTTAATGAAGACCGTTGTCCTAATGAAGACTGGCAGTAGAGCCCTCCATATTTGAACAGACTGTATCCACAAGACATGCAACTAAAACAGTCTTAACAACGGTACATTAAGCAAGATTACCTTTCCTGGGGCAAACTCGACCAGTCCGGTAATGGACACTTTATCAGATGGCATAATTTTATCATAATCTTTCGCATCTGCGAAAGTCAGTGCCAATAACCCTTGCTTCTTCAAGTTCGTTTCTAAAAATAAAATAATATGAAAGACAGTAGTGCTGATGCTAGTGAAAAACTGACGGAGATAGCATTTGTCTCAGATTCATCCTTATAAACAGTTAGTAAAATGCACAAAGACAAACGAATAAAGATATACTGTAGAGCAAGAATGGTGCCAGTCATTCATAATCTCAGTACGTACCATGAATGCGGGCAAAACTTTTCACAATGATTGCGTAGCCTCCAAGATGTCGCGGCTCGAGGGCTGCATGCTCGCGGCTGCTTCCCTCGCCGTAGTTTTCGTCGCCGATAACACACCATTTCAGATTGTTCATCTACAACAACTAATGCCTTCAGTACAACAATCTGACTGAATGAAAAAGCAAACCGCAGTTGAATGCCAAATATAAAAAAAATTTCTTCAAAGGAATTACAACAATCCCGAAACAGTCTCTAATGGATTTCAGCATAGCGCTTGGCGCATCCCCGTACCCACAAGTTTAAATTTATACAACTGGCAGATATCTGAACCCTAATTTCGATTTATCCTGTCATGCTACATACTAAAGAAGCGTTCTTTCAAAATCACTTTACAACTGGAAGAATTTTGTGAAATTTTTAAATTTTGAAAAGAAACCCACTCTATTTTGATTCCACTAAAGAGTACAATTTAAAAGATTAGTTTGAGTTTAATGGCATATGGCACGAGGCATTTAATCAGTCAGTTCTGTACAATTTTACGTTATATTTTGAACTTTCAAAGTGCTACCATACTCGGCGGCGCAACAGTCGCGACAGATTTGAGAACGCGGTGAATGTAGAGTAGCATTTAAATGAAAGTCTAACCCGGAATGCTTATACTTCTCAGCGCTATGTTCTGATCGTTGCATCATTCTAAGGTGTTCAATGACGATCTCAACAAAAATTCAGAAACTTTGTAAGTGGACTTACAACAACTAATGAAGCAATTGAAAACATACTTTTCTTTGGCACTTTAGTACTACTTTCTGTTGCATGAAAGCATAAGATCATTCTGTTATGCAGGAAGGCAATGCTCTTGTACATCATACAACTGTTGATAAATATTTATACTTTAACATTATCTTAACTTTCTGTATGAAGTGTTGCTTCATTCCAATAAAACATGACTGTTTCTTCAGCAGTATTTCTACAGTAAGAAACAAACGAAAAAAATCCATCGACAAATTTAGCTGTTCAACGTCCACAAAACAACAATAAATACTCGACGAACGGTTCAAGATATATCAAATAGGTGAAAGTATGGGCAAACAAGGTTGTTCATGATAGACAAGGATCAAAGAGACCGACTCACACCAAGAGAGCGCGTGGTGCAGCTGCTGATGTGCGATAGCAGTAACACCTGTTGAGCATCGAAACCCTGCCGTCCTTCCCACCGTTAATGGGAAATGCGCTGTAATTTGTAACCGATGCGATGAATAGGGCCGCCCTACATCCATGTAAACATTCGTTACAGCCAGCAGCATTTGCCTTGATCGGTTCGCTGATCGTTTTTACCATCGCTAAACGGAAATGCTGATCAGGGACTCAAGTATAAAAGGTTGAAAAGGACGTGGTAAAGGTCAAACAGATTATTGAAACCATTGGAGCTTTGCGTCTTCGCTTTTACCCGTTGTACGTTAGTTGTTTACTTGTGTATAGTGTTTTCGCCGAGTAAACTTTCTGTGCAACTGATTTGCATTGGTCCTCTGAGCGTCTCTGACGATCAACCGCTGCTACTGACGAGTTGACCGAAGATCTGAGTTAACCTTCGACTTAAGTCGTGTACAAAGATAATAATCTCTACAAAGACCCATCTTTACCGCGCTGCTGTAATGCCGACTTTGCTGTACGGAATGGCTGAAAACAGTAGCGTTTATGGACGAATGAATGCATGAACGTTGACTGAACAGCCTCCAGAATCACAGGTTACAGCACACATTTTAGACTAAATAGTATGACTGCGTGAGAAGCGACCATGTTCTTGAGCTGGATTGGCTTACCTCAAAGACACTTCAGGTTACAAAGGCCTCAGTAACAAAAAGCTGACGTGGCTCATTAGCCTGAAAGGAAACGAACAAACCTTATCGG